ATTCCTTAAGAGTCTGACCAATATGGCCAATCTTTAATAAGCCTTGTCACTGGCCACATGTTGCTCTTTCAGGGTCTCAGCAACCCAGTATCCCTATACCTCAACAGAATTAGGAAGATGAGTTCAAATTTGACCTCAGACACTTATTAGCTGTGCGACCGTGGGCAAGTCACTTAACCCTGCTTGCCTCAATTTCCTCAACTGTAAAATGAGGATAACAATAGTACCTACCTCCCAGGGGTATTGTAAAGAACAAACGAAATATTTGTAAAGCACTTAGCACAGTGTCTGGCACACAATAGGCACTATATAAATGCTAGCTATCATCAGCATCATCATTATTATTGTTAATACTACCGCTACTAGGTCACTTAACCTCTCTGAGCCTCAGTATCCTATTCTGTAAAATTGGGATAATAATACTTCTACCTGCTCACAAGTTCTTATGTGTAACAGTATGTAAAGCCTTATGTGAATGATATTTAATATTCTTACATTATTGAAGATAAAAAATCACAGTCCTTAGGACTGTACAGTCCTGAGGACCTCAGGACCTCAGGAATTTTCAGTTCACCTGAGGATCTCCAACATGAACAAAATACCAAGTGAGATGCACGCTGAAACAGTTTTTAAAAAATCAGTATTATGGTAAATAACCCATTAGACTTCCAAGGGAGGATCTAGACAAAATGTTCTAGAACAATTTAGTCAATAGTCAATAAACATTTATTAAGCTACGTGCCAAGCCCTGGGGATATAAATTTAGAAAAAAAAAGTTTCAGCCTTTAAAGACTTAACAGTCTAAAGGGAGAAAATACACAAATGAATCTGAAAAGTTGGGGGCAGGGGAGTGGAAAAGCCAGAAATCCTAAAGTCATGCAGCCAGGTGGAAAATGAGACATGTGTGTCCTGAGCAGAGGGTAGTGATGGGATGTTAATATCAAGGTTGATATGATCTTGCAGAGTGATGAATCTTCCCAATGATGAGGTCCCTGGGGCATGGTGGAAAGTTAGAGAAATCCCAACGGAGTGCAGCCAGGTGGGAAATGAGATTCAGGTGGGAAATGAGATTCCCATTTGAGCAGAAACACAAGCTGGGGCAATCAGGAAAGCTAATAAATGACAACTGTGACATGAGTGATAGAGACAAGTAGTGAATCCAAGCTCATTGAGGGCATAGTGTAGCCTATTAAGCTCTTCCTTTAAGTATCTTCTCTTAAACCTGCAACTAGGTGAGTCTTAAATGTCCTTAGAATTCAGTGTTCTTGGAGGTCAGAGGAAAGATGGATTCCAGCTGGGGCTAATGGTTATATGGTGAAAAAACCCATTAGCCTCCCAATTGAAGCCTGAATTCTAGTGCTAATTCTCACACTAACTCTAATGAGACTTTTGCAGCCCTCGTGAAGGAGGGAGTGGAAAATTTTCACGCAAAATGATATGTTAGATTTAAGGTCCCTTCAAATTTCACAGTCCAGGTTAGTTAATGGAGAAGGTAGAATTTAAATTAAGCCTTTAAGGTTGGATAGGATTTCCAGGGACGCAAGAGTAAGGCAAACATTTTAGAAGGGACTCTGAGGCAGAAAAAGTAAAGGCATGTTTAAAGGGACAATGAATAAACCAGTTTAGCAGGTTCATTTAAGGAAATAGTGGGGAGAAGAGGCCAAAAGGGAAGGCTAGGTTCAAATTATGGAGGACATTGAGTGCAAAGCTAAAGTGTTTACTGATATAGCAAAAATTCAAAAGGAAAACTTCACAGGGAATTCTACCAGAGGTTTTTTTAAAAGGAGAGGAAGGAAGCAACCCAAACCATCCAAATACTAACATTTTCCCTCTACATCTCAATTTTATATAATGTGCCCTCTTGTTCATCACATAACTTTACAGATATCTAAATGGGCCTCCAGGGGTGTGTGTGTGTGTGTGTGTGTGTGTGTGTGTGTGTGTGTGTGTGTGTGTGTGTGTGTGTGTGTGTGTGTGTATCTTCAGGCTGTACAGGACCACTGGGCATATCTAGACCTGCTGAAGAGCCAGGAGGCCTCTTTGCAGTGGATTTGGGGAGATCTGGTTTGTTTAGCTTTGATGAAATGTGCAACTTGGAAAATCCTGCCTTATTGCAAAACCAAATCCTATTATAATGACTTTCAGTAATACCTGAATTATGTCTTAATGGGATTGATAAACCTCTGACTAGATTTTTAAAAAATTAACTCTTCTTTGAGACTTTGAGAAGGAAGTTAAGTGGTACAAAGGATAGAGCACTGGATCTGGAATCAGGGAGACCCAAGTTAAAATCTGGCCTCAGAAATTTATTAGCAATATGACCCTGGGCAAATCACTTAACCTCTGTTTGCCTCAGTTTCTTCAACAATAAAATAAGGATAATAATAGCATCTACCTCCCTGGGTTGTGGTGAGGTTCAAATGAGATCATATTTGTAAAGTGCTTAGCAAAGTACTTGGTAGTAATAGGTGCTTAATAAATGCTTATTCCCTACTCTTCTCCCTTAGAGACTGGATTCAGCCTCTCACCCTCATAGTGTAGAGAGGACAGGACACAAGGCTTGCTATCAGAAGTGACCTCAATTCAAATTCTACCTCCAACTTACATTAGATATGTGACCCCCATGTAAGTCATTTAGCCTCTTCAAGCCCATTTATTTATCTAGAAATGTTTTTATAAATAAATATGTATTTATCTATGAAATGAGGATAGCACCTGAAGCACCTACCTCACTGGTGTTGTAAGGGTCAAATGAGATAATGTATCCTTGCTAAAAGGGAACTGGACTTGTGATTTAATAGGTTTGGCGAATTCCCAGGTGTGGAAATTCCCTTTACCAAAGCAGGTCAGCATCTCCTCTGCAATTTAACTGTCTAAGAGAGAGTTGACTAGAGCATTGAGTGATTAAGTGAGGGGAGGGTAGTGAGCATGGGTTAGGTGAGGGTCAGAGCAGGTATGCTTCACAAGTAGGACTTGAATTCAGGTCCTCTCTGCTTTGAGGCCACTACAGCATGCTGCCCCTACAAATATCAGGTATTATTCATTCAACACACATATTTTCTGTAAGAACTTGTGCTTGGAGGGGCAGCTAGGTGGTGCAGTGGAGAGTCCCGGACTTGAAGTCAGGAGGACCTGAGTTTAAATCCAGCCTCAGACTTTTGACACTTACTAGCTGTGTGACCCTGGGCAAGTCACTTAACCCCAATTGCCTCACCAAAAAAAATGCATGCATGCATGCATAAATAAATATGCTTTTAAAAAAAATTGTGCTGGGGCGCTAGGCTTGAAAGACAAATTAAAATAACCTACCTCCAAGGATCTTACTGGGGATTTATGATTACTTTGCAGTCTGCTAGGGTTCAGGCCTTGGATTCACGAATATGTGGGTTCACATTCTCCCTCTTAACATTTGTGCAACCCTGGTCAAATCACTGAGTCTTTGTTCTTCTGACAACTCTCCTTAATTCTACTTAAGTCCCGAGAGGGTTCTGTATTGGTGGAGGGAATTCAGATCCCTGGAGTTCCCTAAGCTGACAAAAAGCATGGAACCTTCTGGTGTTCGCATGGGCACATAGATCCTTTGGAGTTTACAGGTGTCAGCATGTACTGTATGGACAGCTCCATGAACAGAGCCTGTTTTGATCTTAACTCACCTTTGCAAGAATTATTTATTGCGCCCTTGGGACCTGTGGGAAATGTGTGAACCTCCCCTCTGGTGCTAGAGGCCACTCTTATCTTACTGCTGATGGCTCTTCCTCTTGTCTCTTCTATAGACCAAACCGTTTGAGGTGTTTGAGCTCAGAAAGAAGCTACAGGACCCGGGGCCCATGCAACCCAATTCCACAGGCTAATAAAGAGATTACCAGAGGGAATTTTAATTTTGCCCAGTTGCATTTATTGAGACATCTGGCAGAAACGGATCAAACTTTTTGGTTGAGGGCTAAGGAGACAGCTAGAGCCCAAAGCATTTCTTCTCTTTTCATAGGCATAGTAGAGCCCTGAATTTGGAGTCAGCTAAGCTGCCTGAAGTCCATTAAGTGGTGCCCTAGGGCCAGTTACAATCCCTGAGGCTTGGCTTCCTCCTCTGTTAGCCCAGGGGTTAAACTAAAGTCCTTTCCAGTTGGGACATTATCAATTCTAAGGGCCCTCTGAGTCCTGACATTCTCTGTTCTAAGGCCCCTCCCAGCCCTAACATTTCATGTTCTATGGTCCTCCCAGGTCTGACAGTCCACGTTCTAAGTTCTCTCCCAACCATGACATTCTATGTTCTAAGCTCCTTCTCAGGCCTAACAGTCCATGTTTTATGGTCTTCCCAGCTTTTAACAAGCCATGTTCTAAGCTCTGTCCCAACTCTGACTCTGTGTTCTAAGCTCCTCCCCAGGTCTGACAGTCCACGTTCTAAATTCTCTCCCAACCATGACATTCTGTGTTCTAAGCTCCTTCCCAGGTCTGACAGTCTATGTTTTATGGTCCTCCCAGCTCTAACAGTCCATGTTCTAAGTTCTGTCCCAACTCTGACTCTGTGTTCTAAGCTCCTTCCCAGCTCTAACATTCCATGTTTTATGGTCTTCCCAGCTTTCAACAATCTATGTTCTAAGTTCTGTCCCAACTCTGACTCTGTGTTCTAAGCTCCTCCCCAGGTCTTATAGTCCATGTTCTAAGCTCTGTCCCAACTCTGACTCTGCGTTCTGAGCTCCTTCCCAGGTCTGACAGTACATGTTCTAAGCTCCGTCCTGACCCTGACATTCTGCCTTCTAAGCTGCCAGCTCTGACACTCTGTTCCAAGCCGCCCCAGCCCTGACTCTCTCGCTCTAAGCGCCCTCCCAGCTGTGAGCGGACAGAGCCAGCCGCCGCCCCCCCCCTTCCCGGAAGCGGCCCCGCCCCCGCGGTGAAAGGAGGAGTGGGCGGGGCCGCTCATGAATAATGGATTCTCGGGGCTGGGGGCGGGGCCTCACCCCCCGCAGGCGGGAAGGGGGAAGCGCCGGGACTCCCGGTCGGGAATGAGCCTGGCCTCGGCGGCGGTGGCGGGACCCGGGCCGGCCATGGCGGTGTGGACGAGGGCCACCAAAGCGGGGCTGGTGGAGCTGCTGCTGCGGGAGCGCTGGGTGCGGGTGGTGGCCGAGCTGAGCGGCGAGAGCCTGAGCCTGACCGGGGACGCGGCGGCCGAGACGGACCCTCCGCTGGGGCCGGTGCTGGCCGCCTTCAACGGCCTCCCCAACGGCGGCGGCGGCGGCGGCAGCGGCGGGGACTCGTTGCCCGGCAGCCCGAGCCGCGGCCTGGGCCCGCCCAGCCCGCCCGGGGCCGCGGCCGCGGCCGGGGGCTCCCCTCCCGTGCGGCGCGTGCTGGTGGTGAAGCAGGAGGCGGGCGGCCTGGGCATCAGCATCAAGGGCGGCCGCGAGAACCGGATGCCGATCCTCATCTCCAAGATCTTCCCCGGGCTGGCGGCCGACCAGAGCCGGGCGCTGCGGCTGGGCGACGCCATCCTGTCGGTGAACGGCACCGACCTGCGCCAGGCCACCCATGACCAGGCCGTGCAGGCGCTGAAGCGAGCCGGCAAGGAGGTGCTGCTGGAGGGTGAGTGGGGACGGGGGCAGGCGAGCACGGGCTTTGGCCAGGGATGTGGGACAAGACTTGGTTCCGGAGCGAGAGTGGAGACCCGGGGGAGACGAGCACGGGCTTTGGCCAGGGATATGGGACAAGACTGGGTGCTGAAGCGAGAGTGGAGACCGGGGGCGGGGGGGTGGGAGGGAGGTGAGCACGGGCTTTGACGAGGGACTGGGGCAAGACCTGGGGAGTCGGCAGGCAGGGAGGTGCTGCTGGAGAGTGAGTGGGGACCTGGGGGAGGCGAGCGCAGGCTTTGACTGGGGGGAGGGGGACGCGCTGAAGCGAGCTGGCCTGGAGGTGCTGCTCTACGGTGAGTGAGGACTGGGGGAGGTGAGCGCCGGCTTTGGCGAAGGACGGGACAGGACGGCGTGAGCCGTCCTGAAGCGAGCGGACAGGGAGGTGCTGCTGGAGAGTGAGTTGGAACCGGGGGGAGGCGAGCACAGGCTTTGCAAGAGGAGGATGGGACTGAGACAAGCCGCGCTGGACAAGGCGACAAGGAGGTCCTGCTGGAGAGTGAGTGGGGACTGGGGAAGTGGTGAGGCTAGCACAGGCTTTGGCGAGGGACCGGGGGAGCTGACGCCGGTGCAGCAATTGGCTTCGACCCCCTCCGCCCACAGTGTTCATGACTTTGTTTTGCTTGTGTCCCCTGGAACTCATACCAAGGCAGGATTCTCCTCTACCTAGTAAAGTAGGTTTCTGGTCACCAGCTTGGCATCTTGGGAAACCCCGATGACTCTTGCTGGAAAATTTCAGCGACAGCCGAAATAGTTTACATCCCTGAAAGGTTTAATTCAGATTTATTTGGGGCAAGACGGGAACTTCTAAATGTTTCCATGGGATACTTTTTCATTATTTGTTAAGGCTTGGCAGTCTCCCTGCATGACACCTATTGGATTTAACTGGAGAAGTACCAGACTGCCGCCGCCGCCTCCTTCTTTTTTTACTCCTCACTTCCCTAGATGGGTTTTTAAAAAACGCACGCCTGCTGTAGATTTGGGCATACCACCAAAATTCTGATTAATTTATGGGAATTTAACCCATCATTGACTTTCAACAATAACCCAACAAGATCTTAGCTCTTCATTGAAGGTAGAAGACTGAAAAGGCAAGTTTAGTTAATGAGCCTTAGTTTACAATGAAGGCACACCTAGTTTGAAGTTTGAGTTATTGCCAAGATAAGAGTTTTGCCCCTTTTGTTTAGTTTACAAAAGTCTGGTGCCAATCTCAGGCTTGCTTTTTAAAAGACTTTTAAAACTAGAAACTAAAAATAGAAAAATGAAATAGAATGGTACACTGGAAAGTTCAAAATTACACCTTTTTAACTGTACTTATTACTTAGAAGAGGCGGCCTTTACTAGTGGATAGAGAGTTGGCCCCCTAAACCTGGAAAAAATGGGTTCAAATCTAACCTCTGACACAGATGCGATGTGACTTAACTTCTCAGTGCTCTAGGAGCTCTTTAAAGACAGTAAATTACGAAGAAGCTGCTGACCTGCCCTAGTAGAGGACGTTAGTCACTGGAAGTTTTTTAAAACAATGAAACCACATATATGTTTAATCCTTATCCTTATTCATTATGTACATACATTAATTGTTGTTAATTTATATTTGATGGACAGTGTCATATAAACATAGTGACAATGTAACCAAATGAATAGTAGACTCTGCATAAAACTTGTGAAAGTAATGCTTAAGAAGTTCAAAGTGAGTCAGCAGTGCAACATAGCATGTGGTTTAGTATGTCAAGAGGAGTATAGTGTCCAGAAAATGGGAGTCTGACTATCTACCCTGTTCTGCTCAGATGTCATTTAGAGTATTGTGATCAGTTTTGGCTATCACATTTTAGGAAAGACTATATTTATTGACAAACTGGAGAGCAACCAGAGAAATGCCACTAATAAGGTCAGGGGCCTTGAGAGCTTACCTTCAGAGGATCTTTTTTTTTTTTTTTTAAAGGCAGTTGGGGTTAAGTGACTTGCCCAGGGTCACATAGCTAGTAAGTGTCAAGTGTTTGGTCCGAGGTCGGATTTGAACTCAGGTCCTCCTAATTCCAAGTCCAGGGCTCTATCTGAGCCACCTACCTGACCCCTACAGGATCTTTTGAAAGAAAAAAAAGAGATGGTGACATATCTTTGTAAGTACTTGAAGTTCTCTCATATGGAAGAAGAATTAGACTTATTCCATTTATCCTCAGAAAGTAGAATAAGAAGTGGGTAGAACATATAGAGAGACAGATTTAGGCTCAATGTAAAGGAAAACTTCCTAATAATTCTAATGGTCCAAAGTGGACTTAGAATGTAGATTTCCTTTCACTAGTGGTCTTGAAGTGGAGGGTATCCTGATTCAGTCATGGATTAGATTAAATGACCTTCTGATCCTGAGATTGTCTTTCTTACAGCATTAGGGTGATAACATTTTATCTGGAATTCAGAAGCAGCATTCAAAGAAAATAGAAGGCCTGTGTTGGAGTGAGGAACACCTGGGTTCAAGTCATTCCTCTGACACAAACTAGTTGTATAATTGAGAGCAAGTTGTTTAACTTCTCTGCAGTTCAAGATTTGTTACAGATGAATTGCAGATTTGCATAGGTGGAGAGAATTTTCATACCTGGACCTCCCCCAAACTAGATGAAATCACAGGGCTAGACTGAAAAAAAAAATCTGGCATGCTTCGAAAACAAGGAAGAAGTGGAATGATTCATTAAATAGGGATTTCTAAGGGGGTCCGTGGATAGATTTTTAATAGTTTTGTGAACTTGGATGGGAAAAAATACATCTTTATTCTAGGATAATTAATTTTCTCCATAAACTTATATTTTTTATTTTATGCATTTAAAAACATTCTCCAAAGGAATCCATGGATTGCCAGACTGCCAATGGAATCCTTGACACAAAAAAGGTTAACAACCCCTGCTTTCAAGGCGGGGGGGGGGGGGGGGGCAGTGTGTAGAAGTGATTTTAATGGTGATTTTAATGAAGCAAATCACCTTATTTAGAAATTTTTGAGTTAATCTTTTTATTAATTGATTCAACAAGCATTTATCAAGCACCTACTGAATGCACACTGTACTGGATGCTGGAGAGTCAGAGGAAAAAAAGCTTCTACCCTCTGTCTCTGTGAAGAAAACATCTTCACAGATATTTAAAGACAAATAATTTTGGGGGGTGTGGCACTAACAACTGGGAGTGGGGATCAAGGAAGGTCTCATGTAGGGGTTGGCACTTGAGTTGAGCTTATTTTTATTTCACTTACTGATTTCATTCAAGTCATTCGGTATTTCTTGGGTGCCAGCTTTGTACTATGGCCAATGAAAAAGAAGTAAAGTATTTGCTTATAATCTAGTTGGTATTTTATGTATTTGTATTCTTTTTCTCCAAGGGCAAAAAAAAAATGCAGGATTACTTTTCGCCAGCTGTAGTTATAGGTACTGAGGGAAAAACAACCTGTAGAATGATCATAGGAGTTTGAGGATAATCATTCAAGGAAGGGTGCTTGGGAGAGATGAATCTCGAGTCAGATCTCAAAGAAGTGGTGGATAAATAAGACAGAGGTGGGTCAGGAGAGCATTCTAGATAAAAGAATTGTAGGAACAAAAAGACAAAGGGGAGAGAGACAGCCAACAAACTAAAAGTTAGAGGTAACTCTGGCGACGGCGTTTTCGATTGTTCCCAGATTTGATTGCGCTTATTTGGAAAAGGGCCCTTTGGTGTAAGTAAATCACATAACATGCCTTTCTTATGAAATCATGTGATCTCAATTTTGGGCTAATCAGGATGTGGCCCTCTAGATCCTCAAGTGCAGCCCTTCGAATCAAAGGACCTAGAGGCTGCAGATTCTTCCTCACCCCAGCTAATCCTTTTCTTAAAAAATATGTGTGTGTGTGTGTGTGTATACTGGTGGAATTAGAGAACTATTTACTTTAGTGTTAATAAACGGAGTAAAATAATTTTTTTGTGCGGCTCAGGCAAAGTTTTTGTTTCCTAGTGAATTTATGTTAATATGCCGTCAAAGCTCTTATAGACACCAAGCATTTATTAAATACCTACTGTGTAAGATGCTCTGCTATGTGTTAGGACTACAGAGTCCACAAAGTAGTTCCTGATCTCAAGGAGCTCACCTCTTGAAAGAAAAAGCATTTGTAGATAGATCCCTGATTTTGTGGGGTGCAAGCAGTAGCAGCTGGGGAAGGGCTTCATGTAGGATCTAGCACTTGAACTGAGCCTTGAAGGAAGCTAGAGATTTTGTGAGGTGGAAGTGAAGGAGTCCCTTACAGGTAAGGGAACAGCCTTTCAAAGGCCAGGAGATGGGAGATGGCATGTCAAAGAGAGGTAATAACCAGCAAGTCAGTGTGGCTGAACTATAGAGAATTTGAAGGAGAGTAATGTGTAACTAATCACTCAGTCAATGCGTGCTTCTTAAGTATCTACCATGTACTGGGCACTGACTATGGGAAGTGCTGGCGATACAAAAACCAAAAGGAAAGGTAGTTCCCGCCCTCAAGGGGCTTACAATCAAACGGTGGAAGACAGACAACACACTGAGAAGCTGAGGGGTCTGGGGAAGGTACCTGGTTCCCTAGGGGTGATCAGGAAGTCCAGAGGAGTGCAGCCAGGTGGGAAATGGAGAAATGATTGGCTTAGGAACCCTCCTTAATCCTCTTTAAGGAGAGACACGGCCTTTAAAACCCTCCAATCAGAGGAGACTCGGAATTGTGGCTCAACATATGGAATCTGCCATTATATTCATGTATGACTTGTGCGGTATTCAGTGGTCGCTATTGCAGACTGTCAAAGCCTCCAAACTATTCGAGGTAGTTTGAAGTTTGCAGTCAATATCATCAGTAACGCTGGTAATAAAAGTAACTAACATATAGCACTTGAAAGTTTGCAGAGAACATATATAACTTACGTTAAATTACTTACCCTCTTAGAAAGGAGTGAGAGGAGGGAAGGAGGGAGAAAATTTGGAAC